AAATTGAGTTGAAGTTCGGCATTGCATGGATCAATCCATTTTCCGGATGCGGCGCGCATCTCCCCTCCACCCAGAATCGTGATGGCATTCGTAATGCGATGTGGCCCATACAGTGAGATGGAAGGCCAGCCGATGCACAAATAATTGTGATTACCTCCCAGACAAGCCTGAAACTAATATAGCCGCCCCAAAGAGAAGGCTCAATTGGCAGAGGCGAGGCCCGATCTGGGAGTTGACCTTCAGGACCGTGCGCACGGCAAGCGAGAGACTTGCCGCTGCACCACCTTCACTCCTCAATCTGAATTGAACAAATTAAAAGTGACAACAAAAAAGAACTTTGTGAAATTTTTGGTTTCAGAGGTCTATCTTGGCGACGGCACCCATACGTCTTCGCTAATACATTTTTGATGATCAAAGTTCATCGGATCATGCTTTGCACATAATTCTCTATGGATTACATTAGTCACTTCCGGTAGTACTGCTACTGCAATGTTGTTATTAGTAAGAAGATGTCGGAAATAGGTGTTTACGGTCCAAATTTAGCGAGTCGATCGTGACCGGTCGATTTCGTCCACTCAGCTCCGCCCACACAACTTCATTCAACTATAAAAGCAGTTTGACGATGGAAAAAAATCGAGGAAATGCATTCCTTCTCCGAGCACATGAAACAACTATTTTTGTACTGCTCATGTACTGTTAAGACTACTTTTCATTAGATTCATTTTTCTTTGAAATTGTTGATTTTTCTATACTACTTCCTGTATAAAGCCGTCGGTACTTTACTTAAAGATGTGTCAACTTGGAGCCATGATTTTTTTTGAGATTCTTGAACGATAGCTGTTATGGTAGTTCTAGCAAGAGAAAATCGCGCGGATATCAAGTAGTGTCTCTTGCCTATTAACATCTCTGTACACTACCTTTGTAGAGCCGTGGAACATTTTCCTATAATCCTCAGCGCTGAATCTCTCGAAATGTCGTGCCATGTATACCTGGGGCGTGGGTTTATCAGGCGCTGGTAACCTTCGAGGGGGGCACTCAAAGGACCCTCGTGTTAAAATGGGGTTGCAGTCACTCGTGTAGAATTACAGTTGGTCCACAAATACCAAAGCTCCTTCTCCTCCTTAGGCTGGAGAAAAGGGTTTCTGTTCCTTCACGGTGAATCTGGCTTCGCTCGTGAAGGTCTTTTAATGACCCTCCAAAGTTATTAGCGCTGTCGGTCTAATAACGTTTAAACGTTTCGAAACAGTTTCGTTTTCAGAGATGCTTGATGTTCTGTACGATCCAGCCTGGACATCCCAGTTCTACTGGTTGCTCATTGTGGCTTTCGTTTTCGCCTTTTCCGTCTCGTTCGGTGAGTCTACTGATATTTACCTACAAATGTCAGATTTTGTGATTTTGTTTTTTTTGTAAATACTAAACAATCCAAGTATAGTACCAATAATAGGGCATCCGCAGGTTGTGTAGACTGCCTCTTTTACCTGTTTTTTTTAATCAAAGGGTGTAGGGATACGGTAGGTCACACCTCACTGTAATCCATTCGGAACCTCATCAGTTTTCCATCAAGCTGCTACCTAGAAATCTTTGCTATCCTGAAATAGTAAGGTGGGATAAGCCTTCGACATTGGTCAATCCCTTTTTGGGATGCGCCATGCATTCTACTTCCATCCAGATTAGCAGTACCATTTTGACACGATAGCTTGTGAGCACAAGTAAGGTGTATCCTCGTAAGCAGTTCACTACCAACCAGCCGTCCCCGTGGGGGAAGATTTGGCTATCGTATATGGGGATCGATCAAGGTTAGGGATTCCTTCGAAGTGCCTTCCGGGCCAGTCTTCCAACAAACATTCTAGTTGCATTTATGATTCTTCTAGTTGATTTCAATTCTTTTTTATTTACAAATTTTTCTTTGCAGGAATGGGTGCAAACGATTCCTGTAACGACTGGGGTCCAGCTGTAGGAGCCGGAACGGTGAAACTTTGGCAGGCATACATCCTTTGCGGCATTTTCAACACCATTGGAGCCATCCTTCTTGGTCAGTTTCACTTTTCATCTGTTTTGAGGGTCACTGTAACTACTTCCCTACGAATTTAACAATTTTGATAGCTCCCTAATGACCAGGCGTTAGAGAATTCTGTGGGTGGAGCCCCTTCGCTTTTGTCTCACTAACTACATCTGTTGCTTC